CACATTCTTATTAACACCCAATTCTCTTTCAATGAATGTTTGTCATGATCTAATGGAACTATTTTTTGAATTGGCATCTGAAAGTATTATGCTATTATTCAGATCCTTAATTGACATAGATTTCTTTGATTGATCAATTTTCTCAGGTAATCTGATAGTGCTTTCCTGGTAACCAAAAATACTGTTTACAAGTAATATCCTGGACCATATCACTTTGCAACTGTCATTTAGTATTTGAAGTGGGTGTATTAAATGGCAAAAATCTTTTTTTTTTCTTTTGATGTTACCCTTTTAGTTTCTGTAAGTGCTAATGATGTTAGCAAAGTTGTTTGATGATCACATTCCTTCTTACTAATGTATTCTCTTTAAAACATTTGAAATTGCCATATCACCATAATCATTTATTAAGTTACAAATACTTTGTTTAGGCAACTCTGACTGATAATGGACTGCATCTTCTCCATCTTTTATATTATCTTCACAAAGGTTTTTATTTCTTATTTAATATGGCTTTAAGTCATCATTCACAGACTCTTCAGGCCAACCATTCTTACAGTACTCATATACTTTTATTAAGCACTCATCTTTTTGTGTTTCTCTTTTAATATCATTCACATTTATATTGGAGTTATCCATGATAGTGAAGAGAACAAATACATCTTCTGGTACATAGCTCAGGCTTTGGTTTTTTAAAGGTAATCTACTCAGACTATCTGCACTATTCTCAGATCCAGGTTTGTATTTCAATTCATAATTGTATGCAGTTAGTGTGATAGCCCATCTTTGAATTCTTGGTGAGGCATGCTCAGGTAGGGTTTTGTTTTCTCCAAATAAACCTAGCAATGGTTTATGATCTGTAAAGATGGTGAACTTCCTACCAAACAGAAACTTATGAAATTTCTTAACACCAAAAATGATGCCTAAGCCTTCCCTATCTAACTGAGAATAATTTTTCTCAGCCTGATTCAAAGATCTACTGGCAAAAGCAATGGGTCTGTCACCCTTCTCATCCATGTGGGACAAGACTGCTCCTACACCATCTGGTGAAGCATCACATGTTAATATAAGTCTTTTCCCTGGGTCATAGTGAGTTAGTAAGGTGTCAGAAGACAAAGCCTCTTTTGCTGTATTAAAAGCAGCTTCTTGTTGTTTACCCCAGTGCCAAGTTGCATTTTTCTGCAGCAGCTTGTACAGTGGTGATAGTTTACCAGACAGATTCCCTATGAACTTTGCATAGTAATTTATCAAGCCCAAAAAAGCTCTTAGTTGTTGGGTATTTTCAGGTTTGGGTGCTTCTTTAATGGCTTTTGTTTTCTCAGGTTGAGGTCTGATGCCTTGTTTGCTCAATATATAACCAAGAAAACTAATTTCTGTCAGCATGAATTGACATTTATCTTTGTTTATCTTTAAACCTTTTTCACCAACAATTTTCAATACTTTATCAAGTGTTTTAAGATGTTCAGTGTCATTCTTACCAGTTATGTACACATTGTCAAAGTACACACAAACATTTGGAATGTCCTTAAAAATACTGTCCATGACAGCTTGGAAAATTCCAGGGCTAGATGATATGCCAAAACATAGTCTTTCATATTGGTAGAGTCCTTTATGTGTGTTTATTGTCGTATAGACTTTTGAATCTGGATGCAGTTCTAGTTGAGTGTAAGCATGACTAAAGTCTAATTCAGTGAATTTGTCTCCTCCTGCCAAATTCAAAGAAATTTCCTCAATGTTAGGTATAGGGTACCTATTTAGCTCTATTTGCTTATTCAGTGTAGTTTTATAATCTCCACAAATTCTTATAGAACCATCCTTCTTTAACACTGGCACAATGGGTGTCGCCCAATCGGAATAGACTACCTTCTTTATAATGCCATTAGATTCCAATCTACTTAGCTCATTTTCAATTTTATTCCTCATTGCATAAGGTGGAACTCTAGCTTTGCAGTATCTTGGATTTGTATCTTTAATGCTTAACTTCACTGTTCTATCATTTAGTAATCCAGAGTTACCAAAAACACATTTATTTTCAGATATAACTTTATCTAGTGAAGTAAGATTAGATTCTTTTACATTCTTCAATGAACAAATACTCTCCCAATTTAACTTAAGATCACTTAACCAGTTCCTACCTAGTAATGGCGGTCCATTTCCTTCAACCACAAGAAGAGGAAGTTTAACACTTTGACCATTATAATTTACATGAACCATACACTCTCCTATTACCGGAACGTTGTCACCAGTGTATGTTGTTAGGCACTTGTGACATGGCTGTAGAGGCACTGATCCTCCAGTGACAGCGTCAAAATCTTTCTTTGTTATGACTGTTAGAGATGCTCCAGTGTCAAGTTGGAAGCTGATGCTCGTACCGTTGATATTAACTGGTACATTGATGGGAGCATGACTTATTGATTTCACAGAGAATAGGTTGAAATCCGGCTGCAAATCAGTTTGAGCATTTTCACAGGTAGAGTGGTTCATTGGTTGGGTTAGGTAGTCTTGGTGAGAGTTAACATAGTGCTGCCTTTGGTTGCGGTACTGTCTTGACTGGCTAGATTTAGCAACAGACGAAGACTTTGCAAAGCAGGCCTTGGCAATGTGACCTTGCTTACCGCACTTATAACAAGTTGCTAACTTGAACTTGCACCGATGAGATGCATGGGGACCTTTGCATCGATGACATATTTGATAATTATTACTAGATTTAGATCTAGGCTTTGAACGTGCAGGCTGTTTAGCATAAGTTGGAATGCTCTGATGGGGTTGATGTTTATTGACTAACCTGCTGTTTACTGCATGGATCTCTGAAGGTGCTAAAGATCTCGCCGCATCTGATGACTGCTGGAATGACATTGCAAGTTGTATTGCTTTTTCCAATTTTAGATCTGACTCGAGCAGCAACTTTCTTTGAATATCAGGGCTGTTTACACCTGTCACAAACTTTTCACATAATCTGTCAGACAGCGTGTCTCCGAATTCACAAAATTCACTTAGATGACGTAAAGCAGCAACATATTCTGATATTGACTCGTTTGGTTGACGAGTCCTACTGTCAAATCTAGCTCTACATAGAAACTTTGATGGTACAGGCGCATGGTGGTCTGTTAGCAATTTGCTCAGCTCGTTAAAGCTCTTGGTAGTTAGACTAGCTGGTGCGCAGAAGTCTTTTAGTAGCCTGAATTGTTGAGGCCCTATGACTGTTAACAAAACAGCTCTCTTTTTGGCTTCTATCGTCACGTCGTTAGCTTCTAGGTAAAAGCTTAACCTCTCTAGGTAATCTTGAATGATTTCATCATTCGCATCAAATTCTTTTATTTGGCCATACAGCGCCATAATTCTAGAAATAATTAGCTAATAAGCTCTAGCAAACCTCTTTTTTGCGTAATTAGGTGCTCTTTCTAGTAGATGTTTATCCTTCGTCGCCAAATGAGGTGGATTGTAATGACTGACGAGAAGCCGCGTTGGTTGTTAACAGCCTTTATTATGTACAGACGCCATGATGCAAAGAGAGAGAGAGAAATGGCGAGAGAGAACTATTTATAGATAACAACATGTAAGGGACATCACTCAAGATAACAATATAAATATAATACTAATACAGAGAGTGAGTTCCCTTGACCTCACAATTATTTCAATCTATTACATTAAAAATTTGAAATATTATGTTAACTTGATTTTCGAGAGCTTACAGTCTTACAGTCTTAACATAACATTGTATTTAACAAGATAGTTGTCAAGTTTTTAACATGTAAGGTACACCACCTCAAGTGGTGCCATAAAATCTGAACTTGAAAAATCAATCACGGACAAAAGCTCATAAAATCTGCACTCGGGCGGCTGTTTTTATGGCTCTGGAAGCGAACGTAGACTTAAACATACTGAGGCGAACAACAATATTTTGTTTGTCAGCAGAAAAGGTATTGTTATGCACATAATTTATATCTAGTCTAGAAAAAATAAGAGGCGAGTTATAGCTTTAGCCATCTGTTTTATCCAAGTTTATTATATGAAGTAGTGCAGGGTAATCATTCAATGGCTAACACCATATCAAATGATAGACTACTAGATCTAGGAGAGATGGAAACGGAAGCAGTTTCTGAGATAATCGAAAAAAAGATGGCGCTGGATGGGGCTAGTCCTTAGAATGAGTGATGACGTCACAGCAGGAATAGCGCTTAACTGGACGCCTCAAGGAAAAAGAAAGCAAGGAAGGAAGGCCAAGGGACACGTGGGGGTGGAGGGGGGGTGGCAGCTGACAGAGGCAGGACTGTTATGGGGGACTGCCAGAAAGCAGCTGACAAAGGCAGGACTGTCTTGTGGGACTGCCAGGAAAATTGCTGGTGACAGACACAAGAAGAGGAAGCTTTTTGTGGCGACCCCATGTGCCCGGGGGGGGGGGCACTTGAAACTTTCCAGGGGGGGGTAGGGGGGAGGCGGACTAAAATTTCCGGGGGAGGGGAGCGGACACTGTTAAAAATTATATGTTGTCTAATAAATTCCATTTCGTTCGGGGGGAGGGGGGGGGGGAGGGGCGGCGGTAGACTTTCTTCGAGGGGGGGGGGGGGTCGGAGCCTGGAAGAGATGCCTGGAAGAAGCTCTGCCCATGCGTCTTGGGCACCAAAGTGAAAAGATGAGAGTTAAACCCGAGTAGTGGTTTCAAGTCCATCTTTAAATTTATATTTAAAGTATGAAACAATATTGTCGTGTTGCTAAAAATATTAGACCAAGTAGCCATAAAGGCGTCTAATTGATCCCCTGAGTCTATCCAGCTCTGATGGGTACCTAACTCACGTTAGGGAAAGTAAAGGCAGCTGGGCACACTATCCCTTTATATGCCGAGGTCTCTGAAAAACTTTACTTAATCTGCTTCACGTGTCTTGGGCACGAACGGGAAAATATGATGGGATGAACCCAAGAGCGACACCGGTTAAAATATATATTCGTTGCTGTATTGAAATGCATCTCTTAAACATATCTAATCTCTACAGCCTTCCACTCACCTGTTGGTGCGACCACCCTTCCAACCACAACAAAATTTTATCCATCTGTTGATCAAACTCCACCTCACTGGCTGACGTTAAAACCCCGCCCATCCCCCTCCATGGCACCATCTTGCGACTGTCTCCCTTGTGCAAGATGTCAAGGTAGGACTGGACAGCCATGTCGGTCAGCGGGGGCAGGACCCCATCTTTGTGCTCCAGCTTTCGGTGGCTGGTTAAAAAGTCGATTGCGTTCATCTTTCAAGTATCTACCTAGATTTGGACAAAAAAAAAATCGTTTATATTTGCGGAGGGTAGTTAAAGATTTTCATTTAGGGTATCTCATTGGTAGCCTATTATTTTAACTATGTATACACACATACATACATACATACATACATATATATATATATATATATATATATATATATATATATATATATATATATATATATATATATATATATACTTTTATCATTATTAGCCACAAAATAAAAAACAAAAACAACAACAGAGTTTAACTTATGCTTACCTTAAAGTTCTTAACACACTCTTACAATTAATATCACTGTGGGAACACGGGCAACATGTATGCAAAAACACTAAATATTCGATTACGCAAAATAAAGTTATAATATTATACGTAGGATATAAAAAAGATATATCACGTCATAATTTCACAAATAACAAATTGAATATTGATCGAAAAAATAGACTTGTTAAAATATCTTTATGAATATAATACACGACATTTTAATTCCACGTTTGAAATAAACGAAATCGAGCAAACGTCTAAGATTATTAGAATCTATTACTATTCCTTAACTATTATCTATTTCTTTCATGTCCACTAGACAGCCTATCTGTCAAAACCGAATGTCACCAAAGATTTTACAAGCCTGGCCTACAGTGTCTAATAACCTGGCAACCATCAGCTGGTTGAAGAATGATGTCGTAATAGTAAACAAGGCATGTTTTACAATATACGATTTAAAATATAAGTTAGATTCTAGTATTGAAAAACAAACAAAAATATAAAGACATTATCTTCATAATTACTGTTTCAAAGTACAAACTAAAATAATGTATAATGTGATATATTTTGCGACGCATTATCAGAAACAGAAATGGCCCCTGGTTTATAATCATCATGGCGACTTTAGTGCTAGATAACGGAGCGGGAAGCGCAAAAATTGGGTTTACTACAGATTCAGAGCCAAAGTAAGTAGAACTAAGTATTATTTTAAATAAATGATATTTAGTATAGTGATATAAATAAATAAACGGACTTGTTCTTGTACCACTACGATTGTTTTTCAACTAGATTCCATATCTATTATCTATTATCTAATCTCAGGCCTAGATCTAGCTAGTTCAGTAGCTACTACTACTACTACTACTACTAATAGTAGTAGTAGACTTAGAGTCTTAGAGTTAGAGTGACTTAGACTAGTTAGTGGTAGTTACTAGTTTAGTTATTAGTTAGAATCTAGATTTTTAAAAATTTTCTACAATTTCTAGAATAGTACTCTGGTCTGTGTAGTTCTTGCCTGTAACATTAAGTTGCATAATTTTATTTAGTGCTAACAATTTAGAGTAATCTATCGTTTTGGGTACGTAAAATCGCCCGCGACTAGTAATGTGAAAAACAGGTGACTCCTTAAATTTTAATAATTATTTCACATTTTGAGGAGGATTTGTGTTTTGAAAAATACAAAAATGTTTCCTTGTTTCATTTATGTAGGCCTACCTGTTTTCAAACAATTGAATTAAAACTTTTCAATAATAAATGAATACTAGCGATGTTTCCAACAGATGCAACCATGCTCATTTACTCTAGCAGCCATCTTGTTTAAGTTCTTTCTTTGTTAATTTATAGCGAGAGATCAGGGGAAGGCAACTCTATTTTACAAATGGCTGCTGTTTATATAGGAAATCCTGCTCGCAAACACTGCTGTTAAAAGTTAATTTCTTGCCTATATTGATATATTTAGCTATTGATTTAGGTTATTTATTCATATATCTATAATATTTGACACAAATATATCAAAATATACTTCTATTAAAGCCTTGACAATGAGGTAACTTTTTCGTACATTACTAGCCGCGGGCGATTTTACGTACCCAAAACGATAGATTACCCAATTTAGAATTTAGACATTTCATTTTAAAAAATGAAATTATCCCTCAGCCAGGCAGTTTTGAGTAAAAATTATTGTCAATAATTTTTACCCCTTTTACGCCTACCTAAACCTACAACAATAGATTATCAACAATTTATTGATAATCTATTGTTTTAGGTTTAAGTTTAGGTAGGGGTAAATTCACCAGCGATTAGTAATGTACAAAAAAGTTACCGCTTTGTCAAGGCTTTAATAGAAGTATATTATCATATATCATAATATTATTATGATATATTTGTATCAAATATTATAGATAATGATAAATGAATAATAAACCTAAATCAATGGCTAAATAATAAATATATCAATAGGCCTATAGGCAAGAAATTTAACTTTAAACAGCAGTGTTTGTGAGCAGGATTTGCTATATAAAAAGCGGCACTCTGTAAGTTAGAGTGGCTTCCCCTGAATCTTGCGCTATAAGTTTACAGTAAAAAAAAATAAACAAGATGGCTGCTATAGTAAATTAGCATGGTTGCATCTGTTGGGAACATCGCTAGTCTTCATTTATTACTGAAAAGTTTTAACTCAGTTGTTTAAAAACATATACATAAATGAAACAAGGAAACATTTTTGTATTTTTCAAAACATAAATCCTCCTCAAAATGTGAAATAACTATTCAAATTTAAGGAGTCACTTGTTTTTCACATAACTAGTCGCGGGCGATTTTACATACCTAAAATGATAGATTACCAAATTATTTTCTGAAGGATTAGTATAAAATTTCATAAAGACCAATAGGGGCCTGATTTGTAGATACTATATCCGGGTGATTTTAGTAAATGTTCACTTGAGAAGTTGGTGTACAATAAAAACTCTGCAGTATCCTCTATACTGGAAATTTTAAGTGTGTTCCCCCCCCCCCCCCCCAAGAAGTTTCATGTGCTTTTAAAACTTTATGTGGGGGGGGGGGGGGGCGCACTAAAAGTTTCCAGTGGAGGGGATAAAATTATGTAACTTAATGTTTTGTTAACCCTACATCCTACATTTGATTAGAAATAGAATCTGTCAAAATTATTTTTACATATGTATTTAACGTGAATTATTCTCAGAATCATTCCTAACTGTGTTACCAAGGCAAAAAATGTCAGAACCAGAATTTTCATTGGAGATCAGATTGATGAATGTAAAGATTTGTCTAGTCTTTATTACCTGCTCCCTTTTCAAAAGGTAAGACTTACACATTTCTAAGTACGTTTTCTTGGTGTCTAAAATCTGTTTAACTAAAACATAAAATAACTACTCTGAAAAAATTCAATGAAAATATTGAAAGTTGTCCATTTTTTATTTATGTAGGGATTTCTCGTGAACTGGGAGATAGAAAAGCAAGTGTGGGATCATATGTTTAGCAAGGATGTGTGCCAGGTATGTCACTAATAGCAGTTTGGAAAAACAGCCAAAATCTTTGTTCTTTACAATCAAGTCAGTTGGTTTTCTATTGTTGTCAGACATCATGTTTTACTCTGTCAGGTTATTTTTATTCAGTAAGTAATGTTGTTTGCTGTTCTGTTAATATATAAAATAAATTTAAAAAAAATTGTGGATCCTCGTGAATAATAAACTATTATCTTGGAAAAATAAAGCTTTCAATATGTTTTTAAGATCTTTTTGTCAGTAAACTATATTTTTTATATTTTAGTAAAAACACTGTAGATTGTAGAGTGTTCACGACCTACTCTGGTATATTTCAGGTTGACTTCAATGAAACAACTGTGGTGGTTACCGAGCCATTCTTTAACTTTCCCTCTGTTGGTGAGGCTATCAATGAAGTCATATTTGAGGAATACCAGTTTCAAGCTCTGCATCGAACACAAGGTAATTCAGTCAGTTGTTTGCACAAAATAATTATAATTTTGTCAGTTAGGTAACTGGGTGACTCACTGTCATCTGGTTAGTTTTAGTCCTAACACAAGTCAGTCAGTCATGAATATAAGCAAGTCATAGGCAAGCTCTTAATCTTTGGGCTCTTGAATTATGACCTAAACATTAAGATCATAGGCTTTAGTCTGTGCCACATCTCTGAGTCCACCCAGCTTTGATGAGTACCTGACTCACATTGGTGAAAGTAAAGACAGCTGAGCAGTGAAATAGAGATTGGTCTGTTTCCCTTCCCTTGTAAACCTGGCTATGCTCTTGATGAATAGCCATGTTATTTAGCAGGTTCTGGCCCAACTGGATAATATAATTAAGTTAATATTTATAAACTAAATACTTGCTTTGAAAAAGTAAACTTACTGTTTTGCTGTTATGTGATAGTGATTTCTATTTCCCCAGCTCCCTGCCTGACCTGCTACAAACACCAGACCGATAAAGAAACCAGTGGGAGTTTATTTGGCACCCTGGTCATTGACTCTGGCTACTCCTTCTCACACATTGTTCCATTCTACAAAAACAAACCTATCAAAGAAGCAATTATACGGTACAACTCTCCTATTCCCCTGAAACAAATTTATTTAAAAAATAAGATTCACTACATTTTTTTTACATGTTCCATATTTTATTTGCATTGGAGAGATGTCCAGTTTGTTTAAAATATATTAAGTTTGTGTTATTTATTTATTTCAGTGTCAATGTTGGAGGTAAAATCTTGACCAACCACTTGAAAGAAGTTATTTCATACAGGTGAGCTTGGCAGTGCTTTTTTTAAACTCAACTTTGAAAGGATCACTAACATATGACCCATTAGTTGTCTGGTAGTTTAGGAATTCTTTCCATCATTGCTACTCATGAGCAGCTGTATAACTGGTTAGAGACTGTTGCATCAGGTTTTTGTGTTTAAAATATTTAGTAATGTCACTAGCACAGATAATATGGTCATGTTTTAGTGATTTCTATTTCTGCTTATGTAGAGACTCTGTGGTCAGCAATAAGTCTAGCTGTCCTAACCTGCAAGGACTAGAGGAATTTTTCACACTTTGATACATAAAGGGATTGTGTGCTAAGCTCTATGCAGTTACATTTATCTCTAGCAATAATCTTCACACTTTAATGGATGGGTATTTAATTTGGATGGGATGATGTGGTCGAATACCAGAGCACACTACGCTAACCTGAAAGTCTCAATCGCAACTGTAGTTGGTAGAACGTCCCTCAGTGCACCCAGCTCCAGTGGGGAACTGACTTTCTGGCCACACTATCTTTACCTATGCAGGGATCACAGAAATAGGTTGATTCCACTTCACTTGCCCCAATGCATAAAGTCAGGTTTGAAAAAGAACTTACAGAACATTGAGAGTTTTTTATTGAGAGTTATTGTAAGTGATTATTTTCTAAAGTGTTTTCCATCATGTTTGATGTCCTTCAGGCAGCTGATGGTGATGGATGAAACATACGTTATAAATCAAATGAAAGAAGATGTTTGTTATGTTTCTACACAGTTTGATATAGATATGAAGATTGCCAAGTAAGTTATTTGGAAAACTTGATTGCATAATTAATTAGTTTTTACTTTTGTCCAAACATGTTAGAACGAATGGTTGAAGATAACAATGATAGAAAGTTGTAATTTAATTCAACTTGTGCTTGAACAGATTAAAATGGCCAGAAAATACAATAGGCAGAGACTACATTCTTCCAGATTACACTCACATCAAAAGGGGATATGTTAGATCACCTGAAGAAACCGCTAAAGCCAAGGGAGATGAACAGGTATGTAAAAGATTTATTTTTGAATTAATTGAGTTACCTCCCATAGTACACAATTTGTTCGCATAACATTCTGTTATCAAGGTCCAAGTTTTTTAATACTAAGCTATTTATTTATGTTTAGTTTAAGGAAAGGGAAATTATTATAATAAGGTCATGTTATAATTTAGTGAAGTCAATGAAGAATTTGATTAGTCGACTTAACATTTGTAATTTGTGTATGATCTGCCAGATGATCCGTATGAACAATGAAAGGTTTGCCATCCCAGAGCTTTTGTTCAGACCATCTGATGTTGGCATCCAGGAGATGGGCATTAGTGAGAGCATCATGCACTGCTTGACACTGGTGGAGAAAGGTCTGTTCATTTTCTTAGTGATATAAAACTTTTGTCTCATGAATATGTTGTTTTTTAATTTTTCCTACTTAACTGGTATTAAATGTTAAATAATTTATAAGTAGTATTTATCAAACATGAATTTGTACAAATTGAGAAAGGTCTATTCAATTTCTAAGTGAAAATAAAATATTACAAGTCAAGTTTTTGTCATATAAATGTTTTGTTTTTTCTTACTGTAACTAGTACTATTTGTAAAATAATTGTAGAAATGATTTGAGTAATATTTAGATAGTTAATAAAACATAAATGTCTACATTTGTTCTGGTGGTTGATATTTGTTGTATAAATATTCCAGAGCTGAGACCACATTTACTAAACAACATTGTCTTGACTGGAGGCAACGCACTGCTCCCAGGCTTTCAGGATAGAATGTAAGCTCACATGTTTATTCTTTCTTACAAACCTACTTTTTAAAACTCAGTTCCTTTTAGTCTTATTATAAAACTAGCTCACAAAAATTATATTTAAAATTTTGTATTCTGTTTCATGTTTTCTTATTGATTGTGATTATAAACTTAAAAATAAATTAAATCTAGAGCAAATTTGACAAATATAGCTTGAGTGTAGATGTTAGCTGTACATTTTGTCTGCAGATTCCAGGATGTGCGGAGTCTGGCAGGAGATGATATGGATGTGGGCATCTCTACACCAAAGAAGTAAGAAACTCAGTTTTATTTTCTCATGTTGGATTAGGTGGAAGTGTATTGTTTTAAGCTTACTTTTTGTCTGCCCAAATGCACCAAGATTGGCTGGTAACACAATCAAGGAGATACCTATGGAAACTAAAACACAATAAAATGCCTCTGCTGGTGAATCATGTTTAATTTATAACACAGGTTCCCAATTCTTTTGCGAGACCCCTCTGATGGGAACTCATGATTTATAATCTAACTAAAGGGATATCAGAAGAGGAATTGTTCAATTGATTAAAATAAATGCTTTTTCAATTAAAATATGAAAAAAAATTGTATCAGTCATAATGCTTTCTCTTTTATTTTTTATAATTTTTTTGGTATTTCTAATTAATTTTTAAAAAAGTGTGGTGGGTAAAAAATGTTTCATCATTTATGTCTGAATAGTAAATTGTGAACCAGATTTGTTTACATTTCTCTAGAAAACCATTTCTCTATAACCAAAATGATGCCATCCCTGAGCTCACTGTTGTGTCTATTTCAGCCCTATCACGTACCCATGGCAAGCTGGCTGTGACTTTGCATTAGATCCCAGTTTCCCTTCTCTGTGTGTCTCACGTCACGAGTATGAGGAACACGGACACGTAGCCTGTACAAACAAATTTAATTTGTGACATCTGTATGTTCCTCTCATTGTTGTATAAATTATGAATTAAGAATTGTTGTCATCTTCATTGTTAAATAGCCATCATACTAATGTAAAATAATTTCATGTAATAAAACAGAAAACAATGGTCACCCTGTTGTTCTTTTTTTTTTGTAGCTTCAGGGTTGATGTTTTAGTTGTTGTGATATTGATTGTTTTATCTTTAAGTCTTATCTTAGTATTCTTAGTATAAGTAAAAAAAGTTTCCCTTTCAAACCTGACGGGCTATGGGGCAAGTGAAGTAGAGTTCACTTGTTTCTGTGACCTCGACATATGAAGAGATAGTGTGGTCAGCACCATGCCCAGCCGCCTTTACTTTCCCTAACGTGAGTTAGGTTCCCATCACAGTTGGGTGAACTCAGGGACGGTTTACTGACTTGAACCCGGATTTGAACTCGAGACTTACGGGTTTAGCAGTCCAGCTCTCTACCGCTAGACCGCTCCGTCCATAGTATTCTTAGTATTATTGAGTAAAGTTTGTCAGATAAATACCAGACAAACTCAAACCAAAATAAACAGAATTGGAACTTAAGGGGTGTGTGAATTTGTATGTATGTGTACTTTATATGTGTCCATGTATTGGGGTGTATGTATTTTTTATATACAAACATTTGTATTATTTAAACAAAGTTACATACTTGTGTAGGCTATATGGATAAATAAATATTTTTGTGACAGGGAAGCCAAAATATTACCTGAGTGTTACCAAGATGGGGTATGTGAACCAAAAATATACAGCTAGGCATAGTGTCTAAGTCCAGTGTGGGAAATCTAATCCAATCAAATAAATTCATCTAAAAGATATCAACTCTGCATGTTGTGACCACAGTTAGTTATATAGTGGCGCTGTTACCATCTGTGAAAGATGGTCAAAGCATGCAGCTGTCAAAAGATGTCATGACATGTTTGAAAATATGGAAGACAAGATTGATTTGTTTATACACATTGACATGTAACTCATCCTGGTCAGAACAGTGACAACTTAAAGCTAGTAAAGAAAGGTGTCATTTTAGACACAGGCAGGCTAAAATAATAAGCTGAATAAACAAGACCTGAGTGAAGTTGGTGAAATAGTCTGGTAATTTTTGCCCGTAATTAATTGTTAGATCAGGAATGATTTATGAGCTTATGCTGTTAAGGCATCCGATCTGTGGTGAAATCCAACAGAATTGAAGCTATGAGCATATATAAGAACTTCATCAAACAGTTCAGCTCTACATCAGTTATATAGGGAAACAATAATACTGTTACCTCAAGGTAATGTTGATGTTTTGCCATGCAGAAAGTGCAAATATGTTAATAAAACGAAAATAAAAAGGTAAATAATTTTCATATCTTAATCTTATATTTCTTTTTAAAAATAATAATTATTATTTATTTGGTATTTTTACAGTTTCAAAGACTTGAACATCAATTGTATATATAGTTATTAAATAGATAAAGAAAAATGGCATAGGAACTAGACTAAAAAGGTGTCTGCAACTCGGTTGCTTTTGACTTCTTAGTTTACTGTGCTCGATCCTCAGCTGCGAAGTCAAAAATTGACATTGTAATTGTAGCTACCCATGGCCAGAAACGATATTAGTTTTTATTTATTTATTTTAAAAAAAAAAATCTTAGTCTTATAAATTTTTGTGGAGGGAATGAACGTTTGCACATCTGGTCTTCAGTTATAAGAGTTTTGATCTTAGTTCTCTGAAATGATGGCGAGGTCATTAGGTAAAGGTCCCTTTCAAACCTGACAGTCTATGGGGCGGGTGAAGTAGAGTTCACCTCTGTCCGTGACCAGGGCATATGAAGAGTGTGATCAGCATGAAGTAGTGCTAACCACTGTATGGCTTCATGAGCCGAGGTCACAGAAACGTGAGCTCTACTTCCTCTGCCCTATGTTTCAAAAAGGTACTATTTTTTTATTGCAACTTCTGGGCTACAATAAAAATGTACTTTATGCATCTGCAGCTAACACAGGAAACAGTGTGCCTATTATATTCAGCGATCCTGTAAATCTTTACAAAGCCAGTCGATTTGTGGTCAGCCTCGATTTAAACACGAGGGGGAAGACGTTCAGAAAAACTTTAATTTTTTTAGTAAGGGAGGCAAGCAGTTAATAAAGGGAAGTAATCGATTTAAAAAAATCTGCGTCTTGTAAAATCGTCGAATAATTTGATCAGAGATCGATGAACAGCACGTACTATCACACTTGAGAGGTCTTGAATGTCCTCAAGTTTAGTTGAAGCGGGTCCTGCAGCATCGCGTTCACCATCATTAAAACATGATATTTCATCGGTTACCTCCCTTAGACTACTGCGGCGTAGGCTATGTAAAGGATATTTTTGTTGTTTTGCAAGATGCGTAATTGTTGGTACTGTTGTTGTATTTTAACATTTCAATTCAATTAATATTCTGTTAGCGGGGGCTGCAGTGACTGTATATTGTTATATTATTTATTGAATATTGACATTAACCGTGTTACTAGGCTTAGTTTTGAGAGATGAGTCGTTAATATGTTAATTCACAAAATATTTATTGTTTAACTTTAAGCGGTGGTTTTTATTTTCCCGAGTGATACTTTTTCCTACATGAATTTATATCACTATGTGATGGGTAGAGAAAGGGGTTTGGATTCCAGATGATTTCTTCCTAAGGGGGATTCAATATATTTAGATATTGGTGGGGGGGGGGGTGGGGGTCACACTTTAAACTCTGACGTATTTTTCTCACGTTGCGGTAGAGGGCTACATGACTCATCTAACTCACTGTGGTGATCGCAGTAGTTTTTGCTTGGGGAAAAATAAGATTTATACAAAGTTAATTCAAGAGAGCTTTATATAATTTTTATTCACACTTACAGTGATAAAGGCATCGGATATGGGGGGGGGGGGGAAGAGGAGGGTGAATTTTAATTTAGTCACAATAAAAAATAAGTATAAACTTTATTGGTGTGTGAGGGCTGGATGCAAAATGTAAATAATTAACTACCAATAAAGATCGAGGGATGTGTGTTTGGGTGTTGACATTTTTTGTCGTATTTGTACAGGTTGTCAAAGTCAATGCACTATGTCACTGCATTTTAGGCCTAGATTGGGCTAAAAATAACTTTCGAAAGATTTATAAAAAAGTACCTTAGCTACTGCATATGATCCAATAATATTATTTTGACAAGACAAATCTTTATAAAAGAAAGGGCATGATTACCCCAGCTGTTGGATCAACAAAATTAAGTTTCATAAAAAAATGATTCGACTGTTTACAATGGTGAAACAGTAAGCCCATCGGGTTGAGGGGGGAAGGGAGTCATGGCGGGGCGGTTTCCTTCCGTGTTCTAAAAGTAGTCGGTCGTTTAGGTTTCTATATTGGGAAGTTTAAGAAAAAATGTTTTCTTTCAGTTTTTAACAATTGAGAATTCAATGTTTGTGTACTCAGTGCCCTGTCTAATAGAGTTGTGTATTTGATGAAATAAATTTTAAGGTACGCCAGCTGTGTATGTTTGTGTGTGTATCATGCCTATATATATATATATATATATATATATATATATATATATATATATATATATATATATATATATATATATATATATATATATATATATATATATATATATATATATATATATATATATATGTGTGTGTGTACGTGTGTGAGTGTGTGTGTGTGGTTGAAAGTGTGTATTTGGTTTATTATTTGTGTTAAGTTTTAATTTAGACCGAGCAGATAAAAATCAATGATGATGAGGAATAGTCATTATTTTTCTATAATTTCTAAAGTTGAGTTTTATTAGGGGACGGTTTTCTTTGTAAATGGCGTCACGCCCGGGGAGGGAATGGAAGGTGATTTGATTTTTATGTTATGTGGGACGCAGGGAGGGGCATGGACTACGAAAGTTCAAGTTGTAGTAAGTATTTTTAAAAACATTATATTCATTGTTAATTTTTTTTTTACCCAGGTCGGTTAATATTGTAAAAATAAATAGTTAAATTACTTTGGGTGGGAGTGGGGGGGGGGGGAGATTCTGAAGTATAAAGTTTATTTTAAGTAGGAGTTATGACTTTTATTGGGGGGGGGATGTGGAAGTGTGAAATTATTTATGGACGACGTCATCATTTATAGATTCTTTGTAAGTGACAGCTTATCAAGGTGTGATTGTTTACAAGCAGCTATACTTGGGGTCAACCACCGATAGCAAGCAGCTGAACTTTGTGTCAACGACCAATTGTGATAAATGTATTTATTTTCTACTTTTTAATTTTGAAAAAAAAAATGCATACTTTTTAAAGGCTCAGTCTTGAAATTCCACACGTTTCGTTTTACAAAAAAAATAAATCATGTTTTCTGATACGCTAACTAATATCTAAGTTGAAATTACCATTAATATAATATTTATGATTATCTAATTTATTATTTAACTGAAGCTGATATTAGTGTATGATATTAAAAACTGTTCATTAATTATTACTAGATTTGTGATCCCACGCGCTAGCCTTATACTTTTTCTAATTACGACTTTCCAGAACCGCAATTGTAATGTAGTAGGCGTTCAAAGCAAAACTCTTTGTTTTATGAAGACGCCGTTGCTCGAGTATCTGATAGGCATATCTGAATTATGATATTATGAAATAAATAAGGCTATACTTGGCGATGTCCATGAAGTACTGAAACATCAACAGTTAAATTATAAACCAGTACAAATTAAAACATTGTACATTTTTATTTACTATTTTGTCCATGTGCATATCTACGCTTTATCAGTGTGTTTTATATAAACGAGCCGACCCGCGGCGTATCATTTAGTTGTTTTATTTTCTACTTTTCATTAATTCATAATTTGTGAATTCGAAGTACCAATGCTGCCACTGAAAATATTTGCTTTAAAACACTAACCCCCCCCCCCCCCCATTTCCCCCAACCCATACCCTACATTCCCCCCCTCCCCCCCCCCCCCACCCGTGAAAGTAGCCTCCTCTTAGTTACCTCCTGTAAGTTTAAAATCGTTTCAAACTAAATTATCTGCCCCTAATAGCCGTCACTAAACCCGGCTCTACGATTTGTAAACATATTTAGCGTGACCACAGCTCACCAG